AAGTGTGTATAAAGATAGGTGCCTCTCTTAGGGGCATGCCCCTTGGGGTGGACCACTTTTGTGAAAGAGGGAGGACCTAACAGACCACCACACGCGCATGCGCGCCATCCTTTCGTATGTCCGTCCGACCAACCGACCGGTTGATCTGTCGGGTGGGTGGGTGGATGGTCTTGATTGAGACTAATATTTTTTAGAGAAATTAATTAATTAGGACTTAATTATCGTGTATCTTTAAGAGATACGAAGATAATTAATGCCAAGGAATATTCAAGAGATAATTCGGGCAGGAATTATCTTAAAGACGCGTTTTAATTAAGGAAGTATTTAGGGTAAAATATCCCGGGTACCACTTAAGTTTGAGAATTGGGGCAGACATACCACTTAAGTTTGAATAGGGCGTCGGGTACCATTAAAGTCTCCAAAATGTGCATCCGTCTAGTTTTCCATCCAACCCAAAATTTTAATTACTTTTTGGTACCCAAAAATTTTAAAAACATCCAAAACTATATTTTAACAAGTTTTTATCTAATATAGAAATTAAAAAACCTTGTAATCATAATATTACTAAAATGACTAATCAAAATTTTCAATAAAATAGATAAATTAGTAAAAATAATAAACAAATATCAAGAAGAAGAATAAATATATAGAATATAATAATAAATATTTAAAATAAATATTAGAAGATCTATTTAAATCGCTAATCTAATTAAAAGTACTATTAAAAATAGTTAAAATAGAACCTAATCGATCATCAATACATCAAGACTAAAGAAGGATAAATAGAACATCGTCAGAAAGAATTAAACATATTCTAGTAATTGAAGAAAATTTAGAACGAAAAGAGAACGGAAGTAACCAAATAATAAATAAATAAATTCTACAACATTCTGTAACAAAACTAGAAAAGAAAATACGACTATAAGAAGAGACAATTAGTAAATTTAATTAATATGGAACATCTAAAATATAGTATTAGAAAATTACAAGGATATTTAAAATAGAAAATTATACAACATCAGCATGATGTACGAGAATTAAATATAACATCCTTGGATTATTTATATCGATATAGAATTCATAGGATATATTTGTTTCAGCAAATTATTCAATTATTATAACATACAATGGCAATTGAAAATACTTATAATGATAAATGATTCTACATTTTGTATTCAAAAATTGGTTTGGTATCAAAGTTTTCAAAAGAGGATCCCAACTAAACAAAATTTATAGAATATATTTGCTCTAGAGAATAATTCAATAATTTGAAAACATAATGATAATTGAAAATACTTATAATGATAGTTGATTCTAAATTTTCTATTCAAAAATTAATTTGATATCAAGTCCTCAAAAGAGGATATCAACTAAATAATAAAAAATGATGTTTTTCATAAGTCAAAATGATTTTTACAATAAAAAAAAAAAGTAGAAGGACAAATTAAGAAATTTAGAAAACAGAATATTCCAAGAATATTCTGTTAACTTTAACGGAATGCACCTAACATTAAATTTAAGTGGTACCGGGTGCACAAATAATAGAGTTCAGTGGTACCCGATGCCCTATTCAAATTTAAGTGGTATCTCTGCCCCAATTCTCAAACTTAAGTGGTACCCAAGGTATTTTACCCAAGTATTTATCTTTCGAATTACCGCAACTTATTCCCCAAGTTAGAGGGTATTTTTGTGGGGGTCTGGCTACTATAAATAACCGTCTCCCAAACCTCTCTAAACATACCACAAATGAGCAGAAACACAATAGAGAGAGTGTTTAGAGAGTTTCGGTTTTCGCACAAAATCACCGAGCATAAGAGGAGTTGTTTTATTATGGAGATGACCGGTTGATAGTCTGTCGTGCGTAACGAAGGCAGTGTCGCGAACGTTTTAAAGAGAGTGACCTAATCCGCGACTCAGCTCCAGATTCGATAATCCCGTTCCTTGTTGTTGTTCCGTTCCTAACATTTGGATTGTCGGCAATGCCATCAATCGGACCGAAGAGAAGAATTGGTGGTGGTGGAATTGATCACGGTGGTGGTGACGGGTTAGGAGGAGATGAAGAACAGGGGCCGGATGGCTGGGAGAGAGAAGGGCACAAATTGGGATGAATCGAATCTTTAAGTTCTGAGTTCTTGTTTCGTCGATTTGGGTTGTAGGATTCTGGTTCTTGTTCGTCGATTTGGGTAATGCAAGGTTTTAGGTTTCCGGATTTGATTGCCGAGATTGATTGAGGATATGTTAGATTGACGAATTGTAATCTGGGCGAGTACAAACAACAAGCTCACTTATGATTTGGGCGATGCTTGCCTGAGTTTTAAGGAGAGGTCGCATTGGCCGAGCCAAAGCCTTTGCAGTGTCAACTATGTTGAGACTATATTAGTCTTGATGCCATTTTCACTCTGCCCTCAATCTCGGTAACCATTCTATGCATCTTGTACCTGTAGTAGCTGAGGGCAAAGGATGGGTTGCATAGTGTACGAAAAGCAGATATTTCCTGCCAAAAAAAAAACTTTCAGCAAGATGCCTAGAATGGTGACGGAGCATGTGATTTGCAATTGAGGAAGATAAGCGACGAGGATGACAAAGAAGCACAGACAAAATTGTAATTTGATTTTTTGATTAAAAACCCACATTCTTAAACAAACAAGTTGTTTAGCTAATTAAATCCCATGTTTTTAATTGTTTGGATTTTTAATCGAGGGAATTGGGCTCAAATCTTCCCCGACCCAAAACCCCATCCAAACGACTCCTAGTATAGTGTGATCACAAAGTAATTTTCTGGGGGGTTTTGTTATGTATATAATCAACTAAATCCTGACCTGGAGTTGCCTAAAGATATCTGAAAATGCGCCTGGGCTCTGGCCATGTTATATAATGTCGTCTGGTTTGCCAAACGAGAAAGAAAGAAGAAATCGTTTTGAGTGGTCCTTAATTAGTTGGCCAGGCAATAAACTTTTGGTCCACCGGAATTTAGGCCGTGCCATCAGAAACTTGTGGTCGTTTACGGGAAGATTAGGCTGCATTGCCTAACACAACTCCATAACTAAGAAAGAGACAATCAACTGATTTCTTTGTGTTAAAACGAAATTGGCTACCTTCCTTATAAATGGTTGCGAAAGATAGATCAAGTTTTTATGTCGTTAGATCCCACGTCCCGTAATTTATATTGGATAAAATTATACATCAATGATTTTGTAAATGATCACCACATCTGCAGTTTAAAATGATATAGATGATGAGATAGTGCCATTCAACAATTTCGACACAACAACATTCTTATGTCTACCTCAATTAAGCTTACTTAGCCCAAGAAAATTAGGAATGACAATTTCGGCCGAACTCGTCTTATCCGTGATAATTTTTGTAGTGGAACGGGCATGAGTACTTTCCTCTATTGACATGTCCTATTATTGATCCGTTTTAATTAAATTACATGTTATTTTACTTAAGTTACTTAACATTTAACTTTTAATACCTTCTATTATTGCTATAATAAAGTTGCAAATAGGTCAGAAGTTTACTTTTTTTTGAATAATTTAACTACATTTCTAATTTTATGAGTTGTTTCTTAATCTTTAATGACAAATCAATATTTTTTTATAAGGGTGACATATGTTGTTTTTTTTATAGTTAGATGATACTGAAGAGATGCGAACCCGAGACATCCAGGTTCAGGACTAATGGTATTACTAGTGACGTCAATGGGGCGCCGGGAGGGGGGTGGGGAGAGAGGTACCTCGATACTCATACTCGCCCAGTGCTAAAGCGCGGGTCAGGTAATGCTTGCACGAGTACGTGACGGATTGACTCATCCTTATATGTATTTTGAAAATAGAACGCCGATATTTAACTATTTTTACAATAACACATAAAAAAATACTTCATAAATGAATGAAAATATAGTAAAGGACTAACAGCCTGTTTGGATTGACAAAAAAGTAAGGAATTGGAATTCCATTTCCAATTCCATTTCCATATATTATGTTTGGAATAATAAAAAGGTTGAGAATTGAATTCCAATGGGTCTAAAATATGGGAATTACAATTCCTATCAAAAGTGATAGGAATTGAGAGAATGAATATGGAATTAGTGGGACCCATCAATACTTTTTATTATTTTGTTGACCCACTATCATTTTACTCTCTTTCTCTCTCATTCATATTTCATTTCCCAAAATAAAACAAACATATTACATTATTCATTATGGTTAAAAGTGCAATTCATTTCCATAGTTGTAGGAATTATACCAAACACTAGAATTGGAAATGGAATTCTATAAAAATAAAAAATTGAATTCCATTTCCATTTCCATTTCTTCCGGAATTGTATCCAAACAGGCTGTAAGGAATAATTGAGTCTAAATAGTTTAAATATAGAGTTTTAAAATTTATTTAGGATGAAAATGCGATTATAGAAACCTCAAGAAGAGAAATACGCATAGATATTGATGCAAATCATGATAGAATGGGTCAAGAATGCGGCGGGACGGGGTGAGGCAAGTCGGAAGCAATACTAATGCCCAACCCCACGCTACTACGGGTCGAGTAATACCCATCCTAAACAACTAGAGGCAGGTTGGATCACACGAGTTAGGTCGAAAATTGTCATCAATATGTAATATCACTATCTCAAGCCATTGTTCGAGAAAAATCAATATTTTTAATGTATTTCCTTTAAATTAAATCCGCATATGAGTGTTCACCTATCCCGACTCACATATTAATAAATTACTCGACCTATTAAACCTGAACCCAAACCCAATTTATCATGGATCAAATATGTATATCAAGATGTCGGCCTCAACATCCTCATTGTCATTCTAGAGAGAATGAAATAAAAAAGCAGAGACAAAAAGATTAGAACAAGAAAATACCCACAGTAGGCCTAGGTGGCTGGTGCAACAAGTTGGTCAATTGAAACATGAAGCTGTATCACTTTGACCAGACCAAAGATCCTTCCTTGTCCTTCCCTCCACCACATTCTCTCTCTCTCTCTCTCTCTCTCTCCGCCACTCCACCTTCGGCTTCCACTATAAATACTCCAAATAACCCAACATCCATAACCATCAACTATCCCCTGCTTTCAAACTCTCAAAGACATTTCTTTCCCAATTCCTCTCAGTTCCCTAATCTGTTCTCTTTTCCATCTAATTCAATCACTTTCAGAGACGAAATATTCTCACATTTCTTAGCGACGAATCCGAAAAATGGAAATGGAGTTCATCAGCGCACTGCCGGAAGACTGTCTCTCCTCAATCCTCTGCTTCACTTCCCCACACGACGCCTGCCGATTGTCGGCGGTGTCCGCCGATTTTCATTCTGTCGCAGACTCCGACACCGTCTGGGAGAATTTCCTCCCGTCCGATTACCGACGCATTGTCGCCGATTCCGTTCCTGCCCTCCAATTCTCCTCCAAGAAGGAGCTCTACCGCAAGCTCTGCGACTCTGTTCTAGTCGACAGCGGCCGAAAGGTAGGCTTTTTTGTAAATTTATTTTCTATCTACTAATTGGATTGAAGGAATTCACTAAATGATTTCTGTTCAGCGATTAATTAGCTTCTTCTTCTGGTTTTTTTATTACAAATTTAGCTTTGTTTTCACTCATTCCATTTGGTTTTTCCCTAATCTTATAGTATATTTTGGGGATTTGCTTGCAGAGGTTGAAGCTGGAGAAATTGTCCGGGAAGAAATGTTACGAATTGTCGGCGAGAGATCTTTCCATCACTTGGGGCAGTGAATCAATGTACTGGGCTTGGACTTCGCTTCCCGAATCAAGGTAGAAACTATTTTCTGGAGCACTAAACAGACTAAGAATTTCAGGGGATTCGAATTCTGAAACTCATAAGTAATGAACTTTCTGACTTGGTGGCGGCAATGATTGATTCCTTTTTCAGATTCTCGGAAGTCGCAGTGCTGCGGACAATGTCGTGGCTCGAGATCCAAGGAAAAATCGACACGGAAATGCTAACACCCAACACCAAATACGGAGCCTACCTCGTACTGAAAATATCCGACCGAGCTTTTGGCCTCGATCTGATGCCATCGGAAGTATCGGTCCAGGTGGGTGACAACGAAGCGTGTCGAAACACGGCGTACATCCGGCGCCGGGAAAATAGCCACGTGGAGGTGATACAGAGGATGATGTACGGGAACAGGACTGAATTGCTGAAATCGATGGTGGTCGGCGGCGGGGGAGAAGGGAGGTTGCCGGCGGAGAGGGAAGACGGTTGGTTGGATATTAAGATTGGGGAGTTCTTTAGCGGCGAAAAGAGTATGGAAGTGAAGATGGGCTTGAAGGAAGTGATGGGCCACCATTTGAAAGGTGGGCTTATTGTCCATGGAATTGAAATTAGGCCCGAAAACTGAAGAAGAAGAAAAAACGAAACAATCGTATTTTTTTTATTAATTCGTTTAATCTTTTTTCTTTTACTATTTGTGATTCTAAAGAACGAAATGTTATAGAGTTGTAGATAAATATTATCATACATACGCTTATAAAAAAAATATTATCATGCATACTAATAAAAAATTATTGCAACAACTAAAATAAGGACTAGTAAAAAGTTCCTCTCCCTCTCTCTCTCCCTCTCTCTAGGTTTTCCGTCTCGCAACTGTGATGGCGGCCTCGTCGTCGGAATCTGCTCCGACGACGGGCAAGGGTTCGGGGGTTAGTACTTGGGCTCAGCTTTTTGATGTCCCGCAGGAGAACAGGATGCAGTTCCGAGCTCCGGAGCGGGTCAATGATGGCTTCAGACTCCCGCGTGAGGTGAAGAAGAAGGGTGAGGAGCACTGGCGCGATTTCCTCATCGTTCAATTCGTTGGTGCTCAGCCTAAGGTTGCTCAGCTTCAATCCTGGGCTACTGCAATTTGGGGGGAGAGATGGTGTTGTGCGAGTATCTCGATTCGGATCTCGAATGTTTGTGTTTCAATTTCCTTCTTCCTCCACCAGCAAGTGGGTATTTCGTACGGGGTCGTGGCACTTTCAAGGTAATCAGCTCTACCTCAGGAAATGGTCTCCAGGAATACAACCAGTGAATCCGCTGGTTGAAACTCTTCCTATCTGGGTGTCAATCTGGGGGATACCGCTGGAATATCATTCTACTGAAGGTCTGGAGTGGATTGCGAGTACTGTCGGTCCTCCTCTCTGGATGGACAAAAAAACTAGGGTTGGAGGGCAACTGGGATTTGCGAAGTTGTGTGTTGACTTAGCGGCAGATTGTGGTTTTCCATCGAAGGTTCGTCTCTATCCGGATGATGATCCCTTCTTTGATGTTAATATTGAGTATCTGAACTTGCCTAGGGTGTGTCCTCAGTGTCAAGTGTATGGTCATGACTGTAACAGTTTGGCTGACAGCAATAAGAAGTGGGTTGTTAAGGGGATTGCTAAGCAAGATGAGTCAAAGGGAACAAATGTGGAATTGGGGGAGGTTTTGAATGTGCAGAGTACTGAAGTGAATGGGACTGCTGCTCAGGTTGAACTGGTTCCAGAAGTGGTTGTGACTAGTGAAGTTGGTACTGCTATGTCTAAAGGGAAGGGGATTGATTCTCAGGATCCAAAAACTGGGTGTGCTGCTACTATTTCTTTTACTAATGGGGGTACTGTTGCTAGTTTTGTTGAGGTTGTTTCAGGATCAGCAGCCCTGTCTGGGAGTTCTGATCAATCTAAACGTTCGTCTGTTGGTGTTACTTCACCAGAGGTTGGGAGGGTAACTCCTCAGATGGCTGTTAGGAAGCTATTAAATATACATAGTATAGATATACTAGTTTTACTTGAGCCTAGGGTTAGAGCAAATAAAGCAGATAAGATGATTACTGTGAGGTTTCCTGGTTGGAGTCAAAAGTGGCAAACAACTCTAGTGGGCTGGGCAAGATATGGTTGCTCTGGAAGTCAGATATAAAGCTTACAGTTCTTCATTTGACGGATCAGTTCATCCATGTGTTGGTGGCTTCAGGTACACCTTTCTTCCTTACTTTGGTCTATGCATCAAATGATGAAGTGGTTAGGAGACTCCTCTATAGTGAGTTGGTCAGATTGCAAGTTCAATCTGCTCCCTGGGCTGTGCTGGGAGATTTTAATGCCATTGGGGATGTTAATGAGGCTTCAAACATGCCTTAGATATCAAGTAGTATGACTGATTTCAAGAAATGGCAATATGACTGTGAATTAGATGAACATAAGTCATCAGGACCCTGGTTTACCTGGATAAATAAGCAAATAGGTAATCCAATAGCGAGGAGATTGGATAGAGTTTTTGTGAATACTAAGTGGTTTGAGGTACTGACTTCTAGTACTGTTGATCTGCTGGATCCCTCTGTGTCGGATCATTGCCCAATCCTACTAAATTCCGACAGTAATATTAAATCAATGCCAAAACTGTTCAAGTTCTTCAAGTTCTGGATCAAGCATCCTCGTTTTATGGAATTAGTAAAGGAAGCTTGGATGGTGCAGGTAGAGGGGTCTCCTCTTATTCGGGTATGCAAAAAGTTGAAAATTCTTAAGGGTATGCTCAAGAAGTTGAACAAAGATGAGTTTTCTGATCTTAGTGAAAGGGTTCGGTTGAAGGAGTCTGAATTGGTATTTGCACAGGCAGAGGCTTTAAAGCATCCTTCACCTAGCTCTTTTGAAGCGGAGATTCGCTACTAAGAATTTGTACTCGTGCACATCTTGTCATTATGACACAATTAAGCGGTTTATGTGTTTACATGACTAAACAATAAAAGAATCACATGTCTATCAACATTACAAGACATTTGGAGTGCGTAATCCACCTTATATTCCAATTTGGACTCGCTACTAAGAGTTTGTACTCGTGCACATCTTGTCATTATGACACAATTAAGCGGTTTATGTGTTTACATGACTAAACCAATCAAAGAATCACATGTCTATCAACATTACAATACATTTGGAGTGCAAATCCACCTTATTGTGCAATTTGGACTCGGTATTAAGAGTTCGTACTCGTGCACATCTTGTCATTATGGCACTATTAAGCATTTTATGTGTTTACATGACTAAACCAATCAAAGACTCACATGTCTATCAACATTACAAGACATTTGGAGTGCAAAACCACCTTATTGTGCAATATGGACTCGGTACTAATAGTTCGTACTCATGCACATCTTGTTATTATGACACAATTAAGCGGTTTATGTGTTTATATGACTAAACCAATCAAAGAACCACATGTATATCAACATTACAAGACATTTGGAGTGCAAATCCACCTTATTGTGTAATTTGGACTCGCTACTAAGAGTTCGTACTCGTGCACATCTTGTCATTATGACACAATTAAGCGGTTTATGAGTTTATATAACTAAACCAATCATTGAATCACATGTCCATCAACATTACAAGACATTTGGAGTGCAAATCCACCTTATTGTGTAATTTGGACTCGATACTAAGAGTTCTTACTCGTGCACCTCTTTCCATTATGACACAATTAAGCGGTTTATGTGTTTACATGACTAAACCAATCAAAGAATCACATGTCTATCAACATTACAAGACATTTGGAGTGCAAATCCACCTTAATGTAAAATTTGGACTCGGTACTAATAGTTCGTACTCATGCACATCTTGTTATTATGACACAATTAAGCGGTTTATGTGTTTATATGACTAAACCAATCAAAGAATCACATGTCTATCAACATTACAAGTCATTTGGAGTGCGTAATCCACCTTATAGTCCAATTTGGACTCGCTACTAAGAGTTTGTACTCGTGCACATCTTGTCATTATGACACAATTAAGCGGTTTATGTGTTTACATGACTAAACAATAAAAGAATCACATGTCTATCAACATTACAAGACATTTGGAGTGCGTAATCCACCTTATAGTCCAATTTGGACTCGCTACTAAGAGTTTGTACTCGTGCACATCTTGTCATTATGACACAATTAAGCGGTTTATGTGTTTATATAACTAAACCAATCATTGAATCACATGTCCATCAACATTACAAGACATTTGCAGTGCAAATCCACCTTATTGTGTAATTTGGACTCGGTACTAATTAAGAGTTTGTACTCGTGCACATCTTGTCATTATGACAAAATTAAGCAGTTTATGTGTTTATATGACTAAACCAATCAAAGACTCACATGTCTATCAACATTACAAGACATTTGGAGTGCAAAACCACCTTATTGTGCAATATGGATTCGGTACTAATAGTTCGTACTCATGCACATCTTGTTATTATGACACAATTAAGCGGTTTATGTGTTTATATGACTAAACCAATCAAAGAACCACATGTATATCAACATTACAAGACATTTGGAGTGCAAATCCACCTTATTGTGTAATTTGGACTCGCTACTAAGAGTTCGTACTCGTGCACATCTTGTCATTATGACACAATTAAGCGGTTTATGTGTTTATATAACTAAACCAATCATTGAATCACATGTCCATCAACATTACAAGACATTTGGAGTGCAAATCCACCTTATTGTGTAATTTGGACTCGGTACTAAGAGTTCGTACTCGTGCACCTCTTTCCATTATGACACAATTAAGCGGTTTATGTGTTTACATGACTAAACCAATCAAAGAATCACATGTCTATCAACATTACAAGACATTTGGAGTGCAAATTCACCTTAATGTAAAATTTGGACTCGGTACTAATAGTTCGTACTCATGCACATCTTGTTATTATGACACAATTAAGCGGTTTATGTGTTTATATGACTAAACCAATCAAAGAATCACATGTCTATCAGCATTACAAGTCATTTGGAGTGCGTAATCCACCTTATAGTCCAATTTGGACTCGCTACTAAGAATTTGTCCTCGTGCACATCTTGTCATTATGACACAATTAAGCGGTTTATGTGTTTACATGACTAAACAATAAAAGAATCACATGTCTATCAACATTACAAGACATTTGGAGTGCGTAATCCACCTTATATTCCAATTTGGACTCGCTACTAAGAGTTTGTACTCGTGCACATCTTGTCATTATGACACAATTAAGCGGTTTATGTGTTTACATGACTAAACAATAAAAGAATCACATGTCTATCAACATTACAAGACATTTGGAGTGCAAAACCACCTTATTGTGCAATATGGACTCGGTACTAATAGTTCGTACTCATGCACATCTTGTCATTATGACACAATTAAGCTGTTTATGTGTTTATATGACTAAACCAATCAAAGAATCCCATGTCTATCAACATTACAAGACATTTGGATTGTGTAATCCACCTTATAGTCCAATTTGGACTCGCTACTAAGAGATTGTACTCGTGCACATCTTATCATTATGACACAATTAAGCAGCTTATGTGTTTACATGACTAAACCAATCAAAGAATCACATGTCTATCAACATTACAAGTCATTTGGAATGCAATTTCACCTTATTGTGCAATTTGGACTCGGTACTAAGATTTCGTACTCATGCACATCTTGTCATTATGACACAATTAAGCGGTTTATATGTTTATATGACTAAACCAATCAAAGAATCACATTTCTATCAACATTACAAGACATTTGGAGTGCGTAATCCACCTTATAGTCCAATTT